GCAATCGACTTATCCAATTGTCGATCGCTTTCCTCTATTTTTCGTTTTCGGCTTGTGGTTTTTCCACTGTTTTTTTATTTTTCCTTGTGTGCTATCTTTAGGAGTGCTAAGTTTAATTGTACTATCTTTATTGGTGCTATCTTTTGTTGTACATATGCTTTCATCCACAGTTTGATTAACAGTTTTCTGAACACTGGCAATGCTGTCATCACTTCCTTCGTCTGAGTTTGTTGAATCATGTGATTCTTCACTGGAATCAACATTATCAGACACAGGTGGTTGATCAGACGTAGAACTCTTCTTAATGTTCTTATCAGACAGCTTAAAATTTCCAGAGCTTTGCCTGCTGATTATAAAGGGCTTCAGCCATAGAAGGTGCTCATATTTTGGATTTACTACAAAATCATCATCTCCTGAACCAGATTTTCCCCTCATTTTGCTAGAACTTGGTTAAAACTCGCAGGAGAACAACTCGTTAGAAAATCAGTAATTAAAGTAAAATTCTTCGGGAGAAAATTGAATTTGAATATTACATTTTCAATGTTTTTCTTATTGCAGCGAAATGTATTTTATTAAATAACTCTGCGAGTTTTCAACATTTTTCATTCAAACTTGGTCAGATAGTAGATCTAGTAGAATCATAGATAATGGAGGTAGGATGGATTGGAATGCCGGCATACATCAAAGCCATGTCCGGTTATATCTTGTGGCTTCCCTCAAACAATGCAAGTTGTGCAAGCAACATTTCAGGTTTATAAGAAATATATTGGCAATTCTCAGAAAATATAAACAGAATGAACTCCAGTTATTTTACTATTGATGAATTATCAAGTGATGAAACTGAAATTGAGAAGGTAAGGTTTGCTGCTAAATTTACAAATCTTTTATCATTTTAGATGTAATAAATACAGTGTAGCGATTTATTTTTTCACTGACACTGGCATGCGAAGTCTGATCAGTGTGATTTTATGTATAAAATTATTTATATTTCATGTTGTTGTTGGAGGAAAATATGTAAAAGTTAGGACAATTTACACTTCACAGTTTTTATTTACCATATTATTTTTACCACATATCAATTTAGGCTTTTCCCATCGCATTTTGTGACGAAAAAAACTTCGAAGTTCGAACTGGAAAATCGTCAAGTGAAACCACTGAATGTAGTCTCGAAACTTTAACTGCCGACCAGAAAATTGCCACCACAGATGCTCAAACAAATTCTAAGAAAAAACAAAGAGCCAAAAAGCCGAAGGGTAAACCGAAGAAAGCTAGAAAATCGAGGAAAGTAAAGGTCATCCTGGCAGATATATGTGATTTGGCATGGCGAAGGATGCTTTACTTCAGATGAAGAAAAATGAAATGTTTAATGCTCTCTACAGGCATCATATAAGTCGTTTGTTGGAAAAACCTTTACCTGCTTTTCCGTCAGATGATTTGAAGGAAAGACTCGAAAAAACATGTACGAAGTTTTCTTCACGTTTTATAACTACTGCAAGAGAAGCAATGTGGGAGGAATTCAACAAGATATGGACCGATGAGAATATTACGAAGTCAATAATTGATGCTCTTGGTATTACATCTGACTTCTGTTCATGGTTTCTGTTTTATCTACAACAGGCTGTAGCAAAAACGTATCTACAAGGTGATTCTACTGCTGTGGTAAATGATTTGGATTTGTCAGATGCTGAACAGGAATCTGTTGCATACATTGCTGGTGCGGTATTAAAAAATGTAGGTTCCAAACTGTGCGAGTTAAAGAGGAAAATTGCAAGTAATGGTCAAGATGTTGCCACAGTGGATAAAGACATTACAATACTTAATGCCTGCAAGGAAACAAGGTCAGATGGGTTGGGTAGCACCAGTACCTCCACCAACCTGATTGAAGCTTTAAGTCGAGGAGGTCTTATTTACCCCAAGGCATCAATTATTAATATGTTCTTAGTTATTGAGGGTATTTTTAGGCAAAAAATTAATTCTAGTTCAAAACAAATTTGAACAGATTCTTTACTATCTGAGTCACTGGGGAATGTATCAGTTCAAAATAATTCCCTTGATGCAACTGCACATGAAATTGTTGAACATGAACAAAAATTTAAAATGCTTGAAAAGTTTGTAAATTTTTACCTCAAAGTTAGATGTTATACCCATGCAAAATATGTTATTGAAAACTATAGAGTAGACACAAAAACCGAACGTAAGAATAAAGCACTAAGGAAAAAGTTAAAGCTTTATGAAGAAGGAAATTAATACATGGATCAATGTGTACTTGTGTTTTATTCTAATTGCTAATTCAACAATGTAAATACGTAACAAGTCTATTTCATTTTAATGTTTTAAACTTTTAATGCTATAACTATAGTGAAACTAAAGTAAAGGCATTGTAAGATGCCAAACAGAATATAAAGTTATGCACTGGTTTATTTGCAGATATTATTTTGTCAGAAATGTACACTGTACTGAACAGTTACGGCAACTAGAAAGCAGGGCTGCCCAGAGCTTTTCAGGGGCCCAAGGCAGATTTTTTTGGGGGACCCTTCATCACCTCCCCCACCGACATCCCCGTCGACAACTTTTTCATTTCTTTCCTTATTACATGGTATTTTGGTATGGTATTTTGCCCAAAAACCAGAAATATTTTGCCAGAAAAATGACTGGCCATCCCCACCCCCAAATAACTGCCCTTCCCCAAAAAATAACTGGGGGCCCCCAAATTGCCTCCTTTGCTCCACCCTCTTCTGGGCGGCCCTGCTAGTAACTACTTTTTTCCCGCCTCTTCAATGGACTTGTTGTCACGGTTATCCCTTCTTTGGGTCTCTTAATTGGAGCCTCTCGTATTCCCTTTAGGTGTTATACTTGTTGCCACGGTCCGTTGTATTCCAAATTTATTTTCTTGAACTCCGAGTGTCTGCAGTGACGGATTTGCAGATCTTCTAGCAGATTGTCGGTGCCGGCCAAAATGCTCTTCAAGAGGATCTTGACTAAACTTGCTGGTCAAGACATACTCAAAGCCATGATTCAACAAGAACTTAACCACATCTTCCAGTGAGTAAACGGTCAATCGCAGACCTGTCATACAAGTAACACAACAGAGTAATAAAACAATGGTGCAAAACAGGATATAATAAAACACAACAGTAACACTTGCTAACAAACACTTTTCGGGGATGGATCTTGTGGTGAGGTGCAGTGCACTCCCTCCAGGAAAGGTAAGCACCCCAGTTAATCTCCCAGTTACAAATCTCCCAGTTGTTGAATATAAGCCCATGTTACAGTCACAAAATAGAATTAATTAGCTAGGGTTATAAATGATTAGGGTTAGTGGCTTAGTGCTAGGATTATAATCTGTGTATTTTGGACATGGAATAAATATAATCATAACATTAACCCTAAACGTGTTTTGTGACTAATAACATGGGCTTATAATATAATTTTATAATTTAGTTGCAAACCACAACAGATTACCTTGATAGGTCTGAGAACTTAGAAACATTTTTGATTTGTCATCTTTTGTGAAGTTCCCCTTCCTTTCATCTATTGAGGCTTTCCAGTTGGCCAAGTAATTCAAGAAAGTTTCCTTCAAGAAATTGAACCGTGAATCATTTACTGACGTGTATGGGGCTAGGAAAGGTTTCCTTTTCTGCCCTGACATCTCAGGTCTTGAATTACATCAATCAAAAAACTTATCCATCATTAACAAGAAAGTAGCTGTTCCTTGAGTTTCAGAAGAGGAATAAGCCATCATTATATTTGAGACTGTCTCACTTAGAACTTGTGTGACGAGATTAACTCTCATCTTTGAGTAACTTGTAAGGTAAACATGTTCGTTTGTTAGCTTTGTTCGCACCATGTTCTTTCGATCATCCTCATAAAGATCAACTATGTGTTTCCAAAGTAAATGCTCCCCATTGTTCCATAATCTTCTTGTGTTCGATCCTGAGCCAGAATTGGCGAAGTTGTTTCTGGCAGTTTTAATGAGATGAGGAGGGTCAGAAAAAAAGTAGATATATCTCTGCTCATCAGTTGCAAATACATCCTTTGTTCGATAAGTAATTTTATCTCCAGAATCATGAAGGCTGTACAGTCGCTGATTTGGGCCAGCTTTATCAGACACAACCACAACAACTTTGAGGCCAGCATATGTTTCAAGCAGTCCAACAGCTTTCCACATGAGCAGAAATAACTGATCTGCTGTAGCTGTTGTTGTTGCAAAGTAACCCAAACTAAATTTCAAACGAAATGCAATACTTGTCACCATGAAAACAAGAACATGGGTAGCAACATTTGCTGTTTTGATGCTCTCTTCTTTATTTCGAATTACGTGGCAATCATCGACATCATTGCCGATGTTTACAAAGCCAACTAACTCCCCAGTTACTTTGTCGTATACAAGATCATCCTTTATTTATACCTCATCAAGCATACGAACAACATATTTTTGGATGTCATTTAGCTTTTCTAATTGATGCTTCAAATCGTCAAACACAGCCTTGTGAAAGCCAGTACTTGGGTGAACAGTGTTTGTGTAATCCCTTAGTGTTCGTTCACAAGGCAATTTAACGACATTGCTTTCTCTTAAGGCTTTGTAAGCTGAAGGGGATCTAAGATGTATATGCAAAGCAAACCTTATCATCATTGGATGCCATCTCACTGCCTTAGGATTTTTCTGAAAAGACTTTTTCTGTTCCTGCCAAAACAGCTTTTCAAAACTATCGTCTGGCAGTTCTTTTTCAATGCCAGATATGATTCTTGAAAAGTCATTGTGTAGTCCATCATTCAGACAAGTTCCTTTTTGCTGAATCTCTTCGTCTAAATTGTTCACCATTTTCCTTAATTGTTTTTCTTTCTTTCGGGTGTTTTTTACCTCTTTAATTATCTTATCTTTGGAAACTGTACTGAGTGGGGTGTTGCGGTGCAGTTCTTTTTCAACAGTTATATCAGTTGATTTTGCCTTTCTTTCCAACTTTACACCAGCTTGCTTACAATACTTACAACACACTTCTCCAATTGTATCTGCTAGCAAAATTTCACAATCACAGCTTCTGATGCAGGAAGTATTTTCCGCATTCCTATTGGCTGTGCCATAATCCATAGAAAATACAAAACCTTTTTCAATGTTGTAATGCTCTTTACTAAGTCACTGTCTCTAATTCCACTGCATAATGTTAGTTGTTTTATTTCCATCAAAAGCCACTGAATTCTCACTTTAGCTACACTGCATTTATACTTTTCATAAATCTTGTGGTTGTCAGGCAAATATAAGGAAGACGATTCAACACTAAATTCTAAGGCTTCGTTCACGGTTACCTTGTGAATAATGTTTCCATTTTCTGCCATGTAACCAAAAATACAGGATAAATTGTTTTCAATTAAAACAGTCCATGGGGCCTTGATATGTTTAAAGTCTTTTCTTAGGTCACTTAGGTCACTAACAGCCATAACAATGACGTCACAACATGGCAGATATTTTATGTACTGTTTAATAAACGAGCAGGAGTGTTTTATTAGGTTTAAAGCCACGAGCGCGCAGCAGCGCGAGTGGCTTTAGACCTAATAAAACACGACCTGCGAGTTTATTAAACGGCTTCAAATGCGACTACAAATTCAAAAGATTTACTGCCTTATTAGCATTCTTTATATGAAGAATACTAATGAGGACACAACTACAATAGATACTGCCTTATTAGTATTCTTTAAATAAAGAATACTAATTAGGAGTGTTTTATCAGGTTTACAGCCACTGCACGTGAAATATTATGGTTGACATGTTTGCCAATAAGCTTATGAATTATTAATGAGTGTTTGAAGTTTAAAGTATTTATTTAACTCGAAAAAAGGTCGGTTACCCCCATTTTTTATTTCATAAAATAATTTCTATTGAAATTTTAAATTATTATTCTAATTTTAGTAAAATTTTCAAGATATGAAAATGTGAAACCTCGTAATAATCTTTTTTTGCCATTACAGAATTTTTTTACAGAATATTTTTCAAGATATGAAAATAATTCAAATTATTTTTTATCAGTGAAAATGAAGCAATCTGATTGGCTGAGGAGCCTTTCAGAGCGGGCCGGTTTTTTGCATCCGGCCCGCTCTTAAACGCAACTGCCCGCTGTGAAATGCAACTGCCCGCTCTGGCTTTCGCGCCAAAAACTGAGGAGTGAAACAATTTTTTAAAAGAAAAAATCTTCCAAAAAACGTTTGAAAAACATAGCCTAACGATAGTCAGAATACAAAAATGAATTGCATCAAGCCCTAAAGACTTCATACTAAGCACGATGTTCGCCAGAATTGACAATATTTTGATAGAAATGCGACTGAAAGTCAGAAAATCATTCGACATGTATAAAACTTACGTCGAGAAAACTATATATTTTTTAAGTGCTCATGTATTGGGCCACTTAAAAGCGAAAAAATTACAGCTTAAACAGATATTGTAAAATAAATGTTTTCCCATTTAAAAGGTTTAACTGCAGCAGTGAAAACAAGTCACGAATATATTCTCTACCCATTTGTGTCATGCATTTTTCACTGATATAAATATTGTAAACAAAGTAAAAGTTTGTGTTTAATTAAAAACAATTTTTTCAAGCATATTATCGTGAAACGACAAGAAAAAATACAAAAATATAGAAACAACATACCTTTTTATTGTCCTTTTAGTAGAAAAACGTTGATTAAATCAAAACAGATTCATTTTTATATGTTTTTGATCTGATCTGAACATGAACTTGTTGTCAGGAGCAACTGATTTTATCAAAGCCAAAACGCCAGGCATAAAAGTTTCTATTCCAAAGCTTCTCTTCTACCATATTCACGAAAAAAGCATGTACATTTTTAATGAAACTGTACGTCTTTTTGTGTGTTTCTTGCCAGTTTTCTCGAGTTTTCGTATTCGTGTTTTACATCTTTCAACTTTTCAAAATTTCAATTTTTGTCAGCCTCGCTTTGAAAATACACAACTGCACTGATCTCAAATTAGTTCGCAAGCAGCACTGGAATTTTAATGAATTAAATTTTTACATCTGATAAAAATAAACACGTTATTTATTGGCAGCGTCGGTCCGGATGAGAAAAACTGTGCCCTCGGTCTTGAAAACGTCCCTCGCCCTTCGGGCTCGGGCCGTTTTCAAGACCTCGGGCGCAGTTTTTCTCATCCGGACCTCGCAGCCGGTAAATAACATATATATACTAAAATAAATCTTTTTATGAAATAAAAAAATGGGGGTAACCGAACTTTTTTCGAGTTAAGTTACTTTAAACTTAAAATATCCGCCATATTGTGATGTCATTGTTGCCATAGCAACGGCGGTTTGGAGAAATTTTTAATATTTCGAACTCCTTGGTCATTGTGTTATACCAATCAGATACTCTCTGTTATAAAACAAATCATAATTCTCCAGAAATTCATATTCAAATCAGAAAATCTTTAATTTTTAAAAAAATGTAGCAAAGAAAAGACAAGTAGATGAAAAACTGCATGACTTCGTAACGGTTTATAATATGATTGAAACAGATTGCAAACATACTTTTAAGAAAACCATGCTTTTACTGTACGTTCACCAGAGGCCATTGTTTCAATTTCATATATATATAACCCCCACACAGGCTGGTAACCTGCATTTTTTAGGTAAACAGGAAGTATAACAGTTGATATCGGAGGTGGCTAGTATTTCAAATGTCGTAGGTTCGAATCCCACGGTTGCCAGGCATATTTTTTAAGCCTGTCCGGTGTGGATATACACTCAGAGTAACATCACACAAGCACCTTATTCACCTGAGTACATTACACCAACATAGCAAATATCAGTATTCCAGCAATTTATGGCTTTTGAAAATCAATCGAAATTGTATGTTGGCAAATCGCTCGCAGTATGTATTGTTGACAAATCACTCACAGTACGTTTGTCCTTGTATTTGTAATGCCTATGGCGCAATACGGATAAAAATCAACCGTTCGATTCAGCGTAAGAAATTGTACTTACGGATGTCAAATGTATATTAAACAACAGTATTCTAGCGATTAACAAACTCCTTCAAATAAATGGTAGTAAAGATAGTTCGTGGTATATTATCAATCGTATGGATTTAATGCAGTTTTAGAAGACATTTGTTTATGGTTGGGAAGAGTTCTGCTAACCCAGTTGGAAGTTGCACTTGTTGCGGCTTGGAATGCGGTCGTTGTACCAGGAGTGCAATTAATGATGGTAATACAACGAATAGGAGTGCTATTAATGCCATAATCATACGAGTGATTACAAAATCAACCGACCGCGTAGCGGGAGGTTGATTTGTTAATCACAAGTATGATTATGGCATTAATAGCACGACTTAATTCGTTCTATTAGCTATTAATTATTTATCTTCTGTAATCAAACTGTTTGAGGGGAAAAGGCACAAAAATACAATTTGTTGAAATTCAATATAATTATTAAATTTTTGTCTCGACAATTCTTACTGTAATAGTGAAATAGTACAATATTGAATTAAATTTATCATAATCAAATTAACATAAATTAACTTCCGGGTATTATTTCCGGTATAATCACATGACAACAGTGTTTGAATTTAATAATATTCAACAGTCAACACACA